GGGTACCCCTTAAGATTTTGCCAAATTTTCGTTTTTTGTCAATAACTCGCAAACGGATGGTCGTAAGGGAAAGTTGTTGGGACCATTTTGTAGAGGACGACGAGACCTACAAGTTCCATATAAAAATTTTTCATTAGCGTCAATAGTTTACGAGTTATTTGCAAAAAACTGTTTTTTCGTTTTTCGTCAATAACTCGTAAACTATTGACGCTAATGAAAACTTTTTATATGGAAATTGTAGGTCTCGTCGCCCTCTACAAAACGGTGCCAAAAACTTTCCCTTACGACCATCCGTTTGGGAGTTATTGACAAAAAACGAAATTTTTTGCCAAAAGTTCGCCGTTTCGACGGTCGGGACGGTCGGATTTCTTCAGTACCCATAAAATGCCTCCTTGACAACCCAGATAACCTAAAATTTCAGAGGATTCTTAAAAATATCTTAATCAGTTTTTCGGTAGGCTCTTCGGGCGATAATCGGAGCCGGGCGCGAGGGAGGGACGTTTAACGAGTTCGTTGGGTTAATATTAACGATATTTCTTTTATTTTTTCCTCTTCCCTCATCGTTTCCTACCATATTGCCTCGTTGAAGGAGCTCCCTCGTCGGCCATCGGAATGCGTCCTCCGGCGAGTGTTCTATCGGTTTATGAACGATTAAATTTCATCAAATATCCATTACGGGATGTAATTATGTCGTGAAAAGCACTCCAGTTATCTAATATCCTCTTTGTGAAACGTCATTTCATTATACATTCACGATACTTTCCCTACAACGTTACTAAATCTCCTGCTCAAAATTTTCCCTGACAAAAAGAAAATATCCAAAATATGAAAACCCATAATTTTAATATTAATTACTATTTATATTTTTTTATTATTATTATGATCCATTTATCAGAATTGAAATGAAAGGTAGAACTCTAAAAAGAGGGAACTTCAATTTATCCTCGCTGTTTCTTAGGGAATCTCGTCAGCGAACGGGGCTGCGTGGGCGGAATGGTTTTTTTTTTTGTTCAAGCAACGACATTAAAAACATCGTTAGCCCGTTCGGGGGCCGGGGGAACAGTCGGCTGAGAATGTAATTAAGCGCAGTCGAAGATTTACTGTGTCGCTGCCCCACCTCTGCCTCCTCGAGTGTCCTTTCAAGGGTCGGTTTATGAATTTCGCGATCATAAGGAAAATACTCCAACCCCCTCCCCCCACCTGGTCCCAAAAAACTTTCATTCTCCTGTCCAGCATGGAAATTTATAGACTGCAGCTTAAATTGTTTGATGCCAGAGGTCGCAGTTTTTGGCTATTAACCGTCTAGTTTAATGTTCAGTGAAAATGCAAATTGATTTTTAATGTCGTTCTAGGGTTTTTATCATTCATATCGTATTTTATCAATTTATCATTATTTATATCTAGGGTTTTGAATATTCGTTCACTTAATTAAACAGAAATATTTTAACGTATTTACTTTTATACTAATTACTA